TTTTGCTACTCTAACAGTATCTCCAGTTGCATGCATTTTCTTGCAAGTGATACAACTTTATTCTTTATAGCTGAAAACAATTCCATTATGTATATATGGCATATTTTCTTTATCTATTTCTGTGGAGGAACACCTAGGTTGGTCCTCTGACTTAGATGTTGTGACAGTGCTGCAGTAAACATTGGTATCAGGTTTCTCTGTGATCGTTGACTTGGAGTCTTTCAAGTACAGTATTCCAAGAGTGATATGGCTGGGTCATATGAGAAGTCCATTTGCGTCTTTTGCGAAATCGCTACACTTATCTCCATAGAGTCTGGACTGGTTTATACTCTCAGCAGCAGGGTGTACAGGTTCCTACTTATCCATGTCCTGCCCAGCATTTGTTTATTTTCTTAATGACTGCCATTCTGGGTGGGGTGATTTTTAATATATTTTATAATGATCCTTGAAATTCCAGTATGAAATATTTCCTAATATATGAATTCTTTTCTGTAGATGTTAAGTTCTTCAGTGACCAGCTGGAAAAATATCACAAACAACACAAGGACTTGGTAGCACTACGACCCACCAGAAATGTGGGATTGCTCCTCATTGACACCAAGAAGCTGAAAGAAAAACTCATTCCATCACCCTTGCGATGCTTGGAGGTAACTACAGGCTAGAAAAAAATTAAATTGTGATGCCTACTATTATTTCATAGTTTAGATTATGCTGTCTACAACTATTTCACATTTTTAAAAAACTATATTGATCTTTGTGTGTTATAAATATTGAAATTAATATAAGAAAATTCTTAATTTTGTGTGTGTGTATGTGTGTGTGTGTATGTGTATGTGTGTGTAGACCAGAGGACAACCTCAGCTATCGTTTCTCGGGCACGTCCACCTTGCCTTTTAAGACAGTCTCTTGCTAACCTGGAACTCACTGAGTAGGTTAGACAAGCTGACCAGGGAGCCCCAGGGATCCAGCTGTCTATCTATCCAGTCCTGAGATTACAAACTCATGTCATGCCTTGCATTTTCACTGGAATTTCTGGGGATCAAACTTAGAACCTAGTGACTGCACAGCAAGCACTTTACTAAGATATCTCCCCCAGTCCCATCTTTAATTTTTAGAAAAATATCCCATATTCTTTCTATTGCACATTGGCAACTTTTAGGTGCCTTAGGTGAGGGAACTCTTTACAGTCATTCCCGTTTCCTTTATTGGAGCATTTCAAAACTTTCTGCAGAAAGATATCACTAACAGCCCAGAGTAGCACTGGGAATGTTGATTGACTCTAGAAACTGAAATCAAACTTAAAGGATCACGTCCTCATCTATAACTGTCACTAAACATCTGGAATAACTTGCACAACAAACACGGTATTTCCTTTGGGTGCAAACATACACTTGCATATTCTCAAATGCCTCCAAGAAAATGGTATAGAGCAGAGACTGGAGAACTACAGGCTCATCTAGCCTGCCCCTTGGGTTTATAGACGAGTTTTTATTGGAACAACAAAAGATCACTTGTTTTCCTATTGTTTAGGGCTGGTCTCTCATTACAATGATAGGGTTTGGGTGTTTGCAACAGAGGTTTGCCTTGAAAATCTGAAACATTTACTGTCTGAACCTCAAGGAAAACCTTTACCTATTCCATGTGTTAGAAGGCAGAGTATGGTATAAAAGACTGGGGACGTGAATGCTAATTTCTGTTGAGCCTTCCTCTGAAGGTTGGTTCATCATCTCTTAAAAAAGAAAAAAGCAAAAGCTGGGCATAGTGGCGCACGCCTTTAATCCCAGCACCGGGAGGCAGAGGCAGGTGGAGCTCTGTGAGTTCAAGGCCAGCCTGGTCTACATAGTGAGTTCCAGGACAACGGGCTACAGGGAGACCCTGTCTCAAACAGAACCCCCCTCCCAAAAAAGGACGAATATATAATTGGTGCAAATTCAATTTCAACATTTCAACAAGCACAACTAACATACCAACTCAAAGAAATAAAATTCAAACTTGCTTAGGTGATCAGAAAACTTGTGCAATGATAAATATACAGAAACAGAGTAGACATCAGGGCGGTTTTATCCAGGGTCCCAGTGATTTACTAAGCACTTCATTTCTTTAGTTCTTTCTAAGCTCCTGATGTGTCATCATTCAAAGACAAGCATTGCCTCAAGCTTATGAAAGGGCCATAGAAAGTTCGAGCCAGTTACTTCCCTGTTTCTATAAAAGGAGAAAGGAGAGACCGGGTTCAGCCATAAACAAAAACTACCTCTTTCTGATTGCTCCAACCAAATCAACCTTATTCCAGTCATTTTGTCCAAAGAAAGCCATGTTCATATTCTCCTGGGGTTGTGTCCCTGATTTCCCCCAAACTACATGGCTGTCACCCAACAGGAAAGGAATAGGCCTGGGCCTGATGCTGACGAGGGCATCCTAATGTCCACTGTGTAGGACAGAGAAGCAGAAGGCAAGAGCATTTTAGCAAACTGTCTTTTAAGGTGTGAAACCTGTTTTGTTCTAGATAGTGATCATCAAAATCTGGCCTTCCTTTCAGTTCATTTGATAAGCAGTGATTCAGTGAGAAATTGTCTTCATGTACACTGCTGTTTTAAACAAACGTCAAGACTTTTAAAAATGTATAAGAAAACAATTATTTATGATTCGTATTTTTCTTTATTTCTTAGGTGCTAAATGTAATGCTTCCTCATTTAAGTAAGAAAAAGGTGGATGCCATTATCTCAGAGGCACAAGACGCAGAGTATAAACTTGAATTTGTTCCAAGTACTACTACAGAATACATTAATAGCTTAGTATTTCTTGATGAAATTCAGGAACGGGTAAGTTGGCTTTTTTTCCCCATAATTTAGTATTCCAGATGTTAGGAAAGGATGATATAGGGCAAGAATAAGTGAGGGACCAAGGCCTTGGAAACAGCTGTCAAAGTATCCAAAGCACTTTTAGATACGGTAAATGGGCCCCGTATTTCAATAATAATGCCAGCTAACCTTTGCAAGCTCTTACTACTCAACTGGCACTGTACCAAATTTTTACATCCATTACATTTTAATCCTTGCAAACACTATGGATGAGGGAACAGGAATTAAAAGAGGCTGTTATCCAAAGTCACAGAATTTGTATGCAGTAAAACCAGAATTTAAATTTGAGTCTCTTTGATCACAAAGCCAATCTTCTCAGTAATAGTTCTGGGTATTTTAATTTTATAGTTGATGACAATACAGATACTAAATCATAATGGAAGTCTTAATCCTTAATCTATACGTACATAATAGCAATTTTTGGTTAAGGATAAGAGAAAGCAACTCAAACTAGCTTAAGTGGAGTCTCTCTCTCTTTCTCTCTCTCTCTCTCTCATCTCTTTGTTTCCCCCCTTGTTTTCTTTCTCTCTGGAAATTTAGGTTCCTCCTCTCAATCTCTCAACCTCTCCTTGTGGCAGCAATCTAGCATTTGGCTCCAATAGTTAATTTTCATAAATTCATTACTATCAGTATAGCATTGAAGTAAAGATAAATTTGCATGCACCAATATCTAAGTGTTATTAGCAAAAACGAGTCTTTCTGTAAGAAACAGTATATTTTGAAATGAAATGAAGATCTTTTTTAAAGGTTAAAAACTCAATTTTATGATTACAGGGTTTATACTGAGTTCAATATTGTATAACTGTATTAATTCAACTGTGAACCTAAAAATTTTATAGCCACTTTTGAAAGAGATGTATCTTTGCTCTGGAAATTGTTATTGAGTATGTTAAAGCTTTAATGAAATGCTTCTTCTAAAACATAAAAAAATTATTTTCTTAATTATCTAAAATTTAAAGAAATGCTACAAATAAAAATCAGTCATATACTAACAGAATTAATACCAAAGGCTCATTCCCGCAAAAGTAACAATCTTATTTTCATTTCAAGAACAGCACCTTCTCAGAGGCAGAATAGTGTGGTTTTCCTCAGATTTTCTTATGCGTCATTCCAGCTGAGGAAAGATGCCAAGCATTTGCCATTATTTGTGTACATGATTGTATTTGTACAAGCTTACATGACCTACTCCAGTCCAAAATGGAGTCCTTCTTTAAGGATTCAAATGTGTTTCATAGAAACTCCCTTCTTTCCCTTAATGAGTCTAACAAGACTCAGGAAGTGACCAGAGGCAGACTAGGACAGCTGTAGGAATCCCAGGTAGCCCTTTCTCTCCATCTGTTCTCTGTGCATCTCTTTGAGGGTCATGTCATTCTCTCCCAAAGAAGCAAACATGGCCACCAGCTGCTCCCCAAGGAGCGGTGCAAGTCTAGCTAGCCTCCAAGAGAGATAGTATCTCATTGGTTACTTTTAACGTTGTTACAATTGAATACCTGACCAGAAGAAGCTTAAAGGAGGAAGAGTTTATTTAGGTTCACAGTTTAAGGAAAGGATACAGTCTAGCATGGCAGGGAAGGCGTGGATGTGGGAGTATGAGGTGGCCGATCATCACTTTACATCCACAGTCAGGAAGCAGAAACTGGACAAGAAGTGGGGCCAGGGTATAAGCCTATGTGCTGCCCCTAGTGACCCACTCTCTCTAACAAGACTCCACCCCAAACAGTACCACCATCTAAGGACCAAGTGTTCAAACACATGAGCCTCTAGCGACATTTCACATTCAAACCACAACAGTCTCTCTCTTCCATAATTGACTTTAAGTGCCTGGCAAGTGGATTGCGGTCCCCAGAATTCTTCAAAGCATCAGGAAAGTAGAATCACATCATGCCTGATTGGCTGTAGAAGGTAGCCTGCTCTCATTGTTTGGTCCAGAACAAGAGTTGCAGTACCATGTAGGAAAGCTAGGCTGTGTTCTGTCTCCAGGAAGCAGTCTGTGCTTTCTGGGTTAGCAAGCTAAGAAAGCAACTTCCCTTAGAAAGGTGCTTTGCACGTACAGATTTTTCTGGACCTTCAGCCACTCAGTCAACACATTCGGTGAGCACTTAACAGGTTGCAAGGATTTCAGCAGTAAGCAAGCCTGCTTCAGGGAGTTCAGAGTCTAAAAAGAAAGCAATTATGATACAGAAAGCAGAAATAGAAGATACTGTCACAGGGCTGAAGAGCTTGTGGTCACTCCTGCTTGTGGGTCATAGAAAGCTTTGCGGAGGATGAGGAGTTAAGTGAAGTCCTACACATCATCAAACACTCAGGTGTTCCAGGAAGAGACATGAGACAAGGTGACAAAAGCAGGATTCAGCAACAGGTGTGCCTTGGGAAAAGGGTATTTAGTTCAGAAAGCTGATGAATTATATGGCACTTAAGCGGTATTTTCAAAGATAGGAGAGAAGGAATTAATTCCAGGGACTGGAAAGAACTTAGTGAGCAACTGAGGAAGAGACAGCAGGGAGTCTGAGACGATGGTCAGGTCTTTCTCCAGGGGTGGGTTGATTGTGGTATAGTAACAGTGTCAGTGGGCTAGGCTATACAGTGTGTAGCCTTATCAGTGCATATTTTGAGAACTAAAGAGATACTCATAATTATTATGCCAAGAGACAGTGAATATAACCCAGAATACTCCCAGAGAAATCTGGAGATATATATATATATATATTCATCCAAAAGACAATATTGGAAAACAATTGATTTTTATGTAGAGAGAATTAGTTCTACTTGTAACCAGCTTCAGAGACCAGATGCTTTGTTGCAAGCAACTAAAACTCACATAACTTTAGAAAATGGAAAAATGCATTCTGAGTTGGCCTGGGTGTCTGCTAGAAGGTGTTGCTAAAGCTAAGCCTTTAAAAATTGTGGCAAGTAGAGACTAGAGCAGCTCAAGGAAGGCGAAAAGGACTCTTTCCTTCTCTGATCTCTCTACAACCGAGGTTACACACCAGCAGTAGAGCAGAGCCTGCATGTTTGTTAGAAATGTGCATCCCTGAGTGCCTCCCTGGACCTTGGGAGTCAGAAACTCTGGGAGGGGATTCAGCAGCAGGTGTGAATTCAGCTTCCAATGTCATTGTCCCACAAGCTACAGGCTGAGAACTGTTTCTCTACAAACTTCTCTGCAACTAAGGTCTCTCATTAAGGAACTGCTTTCTGCCTCCACATGAAAGCAAATAGCTTCTGAGCACAACTACATCTAATTCTGGCTCAGGAGTTAAGTCGGCCTGAGCTAGATTCTCCAGGTCCCAACCGGATGCTGCTTGGTTCAGTTTGTGTCTAGGGGACTGGATGCAGTACGTGAACATAGCAGCTTCCTGTACAACCATGTTATACAGTTATGGGTGAAGGATTTCCAAAACACTGCAGGCTCATTTGCCAGAAAGTTAGGGAACACAGGAAATACACTCTCCTCTGAAGGTAGGCCAGTAAGGGAAAGTGTTCAATAATCAGGTGGATATAGTAAAATATTTTATTGAATGATGGTAGACAGCTCACCATAGGTCTCGATCCTGAAACTATGCAGCTAGGAACATGGCCCATTCATACCTCAGGGGCTGCTCTGGAAAAACTGCTGCTCAGCACATGTCCCTGAAACTCAGGTACTGCACCTGAACACCTCATAGCATATGTCATCCGAGAAAATTGAAAATATTGGCACCGTTTAATGTGAGTGCAGAACAGAGAAAGAGGGAGAGAGCGAGAAACAGAGAGAGCAATTTAATTTATTTGTATGTGTATGTGCCTACATGTCTATACGTGCGCCATGTATGTGCAAGTGGCTACAGAAGCCAGGAGAAGACATTGTTTCTCCTGGAATTGGAGTTACAGGTGGTTGTGTGTCTCCCAAAGTAGGTGCTAGGAATAGAACCCAGACCTTCTTAACTACTGAGCCATCTCTCCAGCCCCAAGAGACAGAAGTTTCTAAGACTATTACTAACGGTGCTCAAGTCCACCTCTTAGCTCCTGGCCTGATTACCTGTACTCTAGTGATGGCTGTCTTTATCATGTGGCCAATTTCAGTCAATTGGATGATCATGTCAAATGTACTCCTGCACTGACGTTTCACACTTTGATAGTGGCAGTCTCCTGACTTTGAGTTGGAGTTACTTTATAAATGGAGTTAAGTTTGTGCTAATTCCCTTGAAATCACTTTCTTTTCTTATTTTAAAAACTGAAATGTGTCGTCTTGTAAGTCCTTAGAAGATGTGAATTTTAAGATGTGATTTACATTCTAATGCCCTCCTTTTAGTTATGTGGATATACTTTTATATTTCTAGCTATGGATACAACTTTCATTACTGTCAACGTTCAATGCTTTCTGCTTCTAGACTTTAAGGACTCAGATTGTGGGGTCTCTCCCTCCCCTCGTTCCACGAGAACAAAGGGAGCAGAAGCGATGAATGGGGTCAGGATGGCCAGTGAGCACTGACGGAAGAAAGCCCTTCCAGGGAGGCAGATTCAGTGATACAAACAGCTCCAGACTCAGTGATACAGCTCTGTTTATTCTGTGGGGTCAGGGAAAATATAGTGTGGAGGCAGCAGCCAAAGCTTCAGCTGATAGGTGCTCATAGTATGCTTTATTTACATGTGGTGGGGGATCCTATCATCTGACTACAGGGCAATGCCTAATTATCATATAGAAAAACCTGGGGGTAGTTTTATTGCAGGTAACTATGCCAAAGGTCATGTTCTGAATAAGGTCAGGCATCCGTGCTTGGCGGCACTTTCCAGGTAAGTCAGGCAGGAAGCCCCTGTTGAGAAAGGAGCCAACCTTAACGGCAGGGTTCCCCAACATCCGATGATCTTATCAGCCATAGCAGTCTAGTCATACTTCATCAAAAAGCCATGGTCTGATCACAAACATCATTCCAACTCAAATTTAAATTCCGAATCCTGCTTAAAACGTCATCCTTTGGCATGCCTATTTATGACGTATAATGTGCATAACCTCCCAACAAGGAGTCCTGCAACATGCTCTTCAACGTTTGCCTTCTTTCTCTGCTATATAATTAAGAGGGAAATGGTAGAGGGAGGTTGTAAGGATTTGAATGTCCTGACATCCACCTCGTCGTCCATCCTTCTGTAGTCTATGGGAAATATATAAATGTTGTGTATCTGGGTCAATAGAACTTTGTTTTGAGGGGACTTCAGGCAAGTTTTTTAAGGTATAGCTTGTCATATATCGACTTTTTTCTACATGAGATGTAAGTAAAACCTTTATCAGAGAAGATAAAACAATAATATTTGCAGCAGCAAATAAATTTTGTTAATTCTGTGGCATATCATAATAAAAATGTTTTATCACTGAATAGGTTGTCTGCTGTGTGTGGAAGGATGGATGTCAAGGATGCCAGAGATCTGTGTCACAAGGGAGCAGGCCTTTTCTCTCTGTGTCTCCATCTTTACAATCTGTTTAGTGAACTCTATTCAGCTTATAGTTGCCTAATAAGGAAATCAGTATTATAACAGGAACATTTTGTGGCAGAATCCAAGAAATAACATCAGACTTACACAATCTTCTCATCATTGGTCATGTGTAGAATGTTAGAGATACAATGTGATTGAGGCAGCTACCTAGTTTGACATTATGGGCCATTACTTACTGGTGCTAGACACCTATTACAGGTTTTATTGAACTGCTGTGGTTTGAATGTGGCTTTCCTAATTCATTTGTTAGAAACTTAACCTGCAATGTGGCAGTGTTCAACTTTTCTGTATAGTTTGGTTTGGTTATGTGTGATGTGGTTTGTCTTGTTTACTTTGGTGTTGACTGTGTATTGAACACAAAGCTTCATGTGTGTTTTTTTTTCAAACACGGAAGAAAATATTTATTATATACTATAGACAAAATTTTATTTTATTGTGTCACATTCCTATTCCAGAGAAGTTAAATGATAAATTAGTTAATAAAAATTTATAAACTTAGAAGCAACTGAAAAGTAATACTAAATTCTATATGTCATGAGCAACCAATGTTTCTATTTAGATTGAAAGCCTGGAAGAAGACGGGAATACAGTGATCGAGATGTACAGGCTCATTGAACAATATCAGGTGCCCACACCTCCCGAAGACCTTGCTGTTTTTGCAACCATGAAGCCATCCATTGTTGCTGTCCGGAACGCCATTGACAAATCAGTGGGTGACAGAGAATCAAGCATTAAACAGTTCTGTCTGCACTTGGGCAGAGATCTTGAAGATCTAAACAATGAAGTGAACGAAGTCAAGCTGCAGTCCCAGGTGGGCTGGAGCAGGATCTGTTCAAATAGGTTGTGCAGTTTGATGACTGGAGGCTTTTAAATCAAGATATGATTGACAAATAAGAATTGTATATATGCTGTACATCATGATACTTTGACTTACATATCCATAGTGAAATTCACTAAGCTAATTAACTTATCTATCGCTTCATATACTTTGCTGTTGTTGTTGTGAGAACATTTAAGATCCACTCTTCAAGCCATTTATGGGATCTATTTCATTTTAAGCTGAGTTATATTTCATAGACCAATGAATACAGAACTATAATAACCACAGGCTTCAATGAATTATCAGGAAGTAAGTACGACTACTCCTCATAGAAAAACATTTGAGTTCCTTCCAAATCATTAATCCTTTCTCTCCATGTCAGCTATTACCTTGAATTCTAATGTTACCATGCAGTACACTCTAGTATTTATCAATATTACTGTGTAGGGATGTAATTTATGCACATTTGTTGCTGTATAGTATTTCATCGTATTTCACATTTCAATTATCCATTCCGTGGCTGACAGACATTGAGATTGTGTGAAGGTTTTGGCAAAGATAAATAATACTTCTAGAAGCTATCTTACATGCATTTGTATGTTTTAACTTATTCTCAGAACAAATACAAGTTTTACTCATATTTCACAGAAAAGAAAGTTGAGGTACAGGGAAGTTAAGTAACTTGCTCGGGGTCACACAGATAATAAATGGTGGAAGCAGGACTTAGGCTGAGGCAGTCTGCTTTCAGTGGATGATGTCAGCTGTTCACTCCTACAGCGTGCACTCTATTGTGTGCACAACAGCTCATTCAAAAACACAGTAATTATCATAGGGAATAAATGCCAGCACATACTTTGTGTGGAATCATGCATTTAAAATACAATGTGCATACTTGGCACTGAGGGCCTAGGTCTAACAAGTGCATCTTCCATGGAGGGTTTGGATTCATCCTTGGGCGAAGAACTGTAATTTTATTTTTCCATAGATAACATCACCTGGCTGTCTAGACTCCCTGCTTCTGCTGATGGAGAGAAGTTGGGGAGAAAACCTAAATGTGATCATCGATGAGTAATTGGTTGATTTCATTCTGAAATGCTCATTTCTGTCTAGCTTGGTCTCTTTTGATTGATAGATTTTGATTCAAAGTTTAAACTCCTTGTGTGGCCTTGCTTTGCCCTCACTGGTGTCTCCTCCACTCCCTGCATTTCCGACAGGTATCCAGTCTCTACCTTCTAGACCACAGAAGTGTGCATTGCAGCAGGACTGAGCTGGGCCTAGTTTTCCCAAGTAGTTGTTAGTTAAGGGTCCTTCCTGTTTCTTGAAGCATTATGTCAGTCCCTACTGCTTTCTGCAAGCCTTCATTTCTGCCACAGGCCACAGTTCCATGTAATTCATGGCTCTCTGAATCTTACTTTCAGACTTCCTCTGGCTCACCAACTCTCTAAAGAATTCCTATCACCAAAATCAAGACACATGAGAAAGTTAGACCATAGCACACCAAGCCATGGGGCATCATGTCTGCCAGAGCATTTCTGCCTCACATTCTCCTTGGCTTTTTCTAACCTAGAACACATTTCCATCTGAATGCATGGCCACAGTGAGCAAGAGATGCAGCAGCTATAGCCATGGCTATGATAGTTCTCAGATTTCTCCATTTTTTTCTGATTCTCAACTATTCAGGTGTTTCAGCTTTGCTCTTGAACTATATTCCATTCCCATTCACTGGGGTTTCAAGCCCAAGATGTCAGCTGGAAGACCTAGGCCTTAGCATTCATAGTCTTCATTTCCTCTTCTCTTTCCTGTGATTTTACATATCTATATATATGTGTGTGTGTATTATATATGTATTTTATGCAACATGTGTGTCTGTGTGTCAATGTATATGTAATTCCATAATTCCTAGCTTATAATTCCCATAACCCTTGTTATTACCGAAATTATTTCCTAAATGACTCAAACAATAAGGTGAAGACGCTTGGCCCTTTACCCCTGGTTTTTGAAGAAGCCTTTGAAGAACTTCAGGCTGAGAATTGAGAAAAGGGGTCTTGTTAGAATGCCAGGGTGTTGCAGGCCTCACAGAACACAGTCCCTCTCTCCATCCCTCTCCTTTCCCCTCCAAAGTAAGCCATAGGAACTGCTATTTCTCTTTTCTCAGGGTGACACATAAACTAAAAATGTACCCTAATCTTCCCCCTCCCACATCTTGGAGATGGCCATAAAGCAGTGTCCTGATAGCCGATCATAAGCCTCTCACCTTCGAAAAGGGGCGCCACCTCTGCCAGACCACACATACATGGAGGTCAGAGGACAACTTGCGGGAGCTGGTTCTCTCCTGCCATGTGAGCTCTGGGGTGTAACCGGAAGTCATCGGGTGTGGTTACAAGCACTGAGCCATCTCACCAGCCCCTAGATTTAGTTTTAAAACCGTGTTACATCCCCATGGCATCCCTTTCTACAATTCTCTTCCTTTTACTATGCAGATACATAAATTAAGGAAAAGCCATCATTTAAGCACCATTTTTAAAAATCAGAGAAAAAAGAGAATTAGAAAAAAATTGAATTTTCTGAAAGATGTTTATTAATTCACTTAATCTTTTTGAAAAAGTAAGACTGTCTAAGCAAAGTGTACCTTAATTTTATAGGACCCCCAGATCTTGGACATTACTGCTGACCAAGAGAAAATAAAGCTCAGGTTGAGTGAGCTGCAGTCTGTTCTGAATGATCTTCAAAAACGCGCCTTTCAGTATAAATCTTACCAGAAGAATTTCAAGGTAATAGCAGCTATACACAGCTGTTTCTAAAATGCATGCACAGAGATGTATTTCTGCATAAGCATTTTCAACACTGTGACTGTAGCCATCCCCAACAGAGTCTTTGAGGGACTGTCAAACTTTCCTTTGGAGCTTCATAAGCCAGGCCTCCATTATCCACATTTCTCTCAGTGTCACTGTTTCAAGCTTCACAAAAACTCATTGGTTTTTCCAGCCCCAATGTTCCAAACACTTCTACAGTCCTTTCTAAAACAACAAGATTAGGTCTGTCACAGCAATATCCCATTCTCTGGTACCAATTTCTGTCCTAATTTGTTTCTCTGTTGCTGTTATAATAATAATAATAATAAAAAACTGACCAAAACCAACTTGAGGAAGAACGGGTTTGTTTCATCTTGCACTTCCAGGCCAGGGTCCGTCTTTGAAGGAAGTCAAGTAGGAACTCAGGGTGGGAACCTGGAGGCAGAAACTGAAGCAGAGACCACAGAGGAATGCTGCTAACTGGCTTGCTCCTCTTGCCTGTGTTCCACCTGTTTTCTTTTACAACTCAGGACTGTTTGCCCTAGTGTGGCATCACCCACAGTGGGCTATGCCCTTCCACATCATTCAATAGCCAAGAAAATGATTCCCAGACAAGCCCATGGTGCAAACCTAACAGAAGAAATTCCCCAGTTTCGGCTCCTGCTTCCCAGGTATGTCAGGTTGACAACTGAAGTCAGCCATGGCACTGTTCGGTCAATTCTCTCATCCAAGCCAAGGCAATCTTTTCATGATTTCTCATGAAAACACCTTCAAGGGCCACAGAGATGACTCAGCAGTTAAGAGTACTTGCTACTCTTGCAGAGACCCAAGTTTGGTTCCCAGCACCCATGATGGGTGGCTCACAACCACCTGTAACTCCAACTCCAGGAGATTTGACATCTTCCTGTGGATTCTACAGGCACCAGCACACATGTGGCATACACACACACACACACACACACACACACACACACACACACATAAAAATAAATATTAACATTTTTTTCCCAGCTAAAGGCTGAGGATACAGCTCTGTTATAGAGCATTAAGGCCCTTGTGCAAAAGGTCTGGATCTCCAAAAAATAAAAATCAAAAAGGTCTGGGGCTGTATTTGAGTTTGTAGAACATTTGTCTAGCATGCACAACGTCCAGGTTTTTATTGCCAGCATTGTATAAAGCTAGGTTTAATGTGCAAGCCTATAATTTCAGCACTCCAATGGCCTTCGTTGCCTGATAAGTTCAAGGCTAGCTTAGGCTACATGAGACCCTGTCTCAAAGGGAGAAACAACCCTCCATTATAAAAAAATCACTCATTCAAACATAGTTAATGAATTTAATTTTTTTCAATGTATGAAATCACCCAAAAGATAGCCTGGGTCCCACAGCCCAAAAATAGAGTTTTAAATTAGCTCTGGGGTCAAATGAAGCCACCATTGAGAGATGAAAGAGCCTAAAAGAGGTTGTGATGGACAGCCCAAAACAGAAGTGCCCAGCTTTGTAATGCTGCCAAAGGCTGTGCCGGAGAGAACCCCGACCAGGCTGGTCTTGAACTCACAGAGATCTGCCTGCCTCTACCTCCCGAGTGCTGGGATTAAAGGCGTGCGCCAAAATCTTCAGATTTTTTTGCATTCTTCCCCTTCATAGGGCTTATATATAATCCATGTATTTAGAAAGAAGAATCAAGGTTGTTCTTTGTATCTTTAAATTCACCATCCTCCCCCCCAGAGGCTACCACATGTTCCTCTCCCATTCCCCATATATAGAAGCCCCGAAGAAAATCAGTCACTCTGAAAACTTGTGTATTTCCCCAAAAGGCCAGCCAGGCATGCAAAAGTGAATGCCCACAACACTCTGACAATATTGATGTCTTTTAAAAATATTTAGTATTTTTTATTTATGTGCATGAGTGTATTGACTGCATATATGTAATTGAACCCATGCCGTGCAGTGCCCATGCAGGTGAGAAGAGGGCATCTGGTCCCCCGGGACTGGAGTTACAGATGGCTGTTTGCCTCCATGTAGGCATTGAGAACCAAACCTGGGTCCTCTCAAGAACAGTCACTGTTCTTAACTGCTGAATCATCTCTCCAGTCCCCTGATGTCTTTTAAAGATATATAAATTTTAAAGAAAATATAACAAGTTGGGGCTGGAGAGATGGCTCAGTGGTTAAGAGCACTGACTGCTCTTGCAGAAGACCCGGGGTCAAGTCCCAGCAACTCACATGATTGCTAAGAATCATTCTTAACTCCAGTTCCAGGGGAATCTGACACCCTCTTCCGACCTCCACAGCATTGCACAGCACGGGTGCACTCACATACATGCAGGCAATACACTCATACACATAAAATAAAAATTATATATATATATATATATATATGTATTTCTTTTTGAAACAGGGTCTCCCTGTAACCCCAGCTGTCTTGGAACTCACTATGTAGACCAGGCTGGCCTTGAACTCACAGAGATCTGCCTGCCTCTGCCTCCCGAGTGCTGGGCTTAAAGGCATGCACCATCACGCCCAGCGATAAAATATTTTTTAAAAAGAAAATATAACAAGTTATATTTTGCTGTTCCATGGGAATTACAATGTATGTGGGGTTTCATATGGTTTTAAATCCTCATTTGTTTCCTCTTTTCCTTTTCTTTCCCCATTTAGGACCCACATACTGCCAAGTAGTCACTGTATCAAGAGTTACTAATGGACTGGGCTGGAGAGCTGGTGCAGCCATTAAAAGCTCCGGCTCATAACCAAAAAGACAAGAGTTAGTAATGGATGAGATAGTCATTCTATCTGAAATCTAAGTACTGTGCTTTGTTATATTTTAAAGGTAGAAGTGTCCAAGTTCGATGCTTTGGAAGAAGTTAGTGCTGAACTGAAGCTCAAGCAATTGCTCTGGGATTCGTTCACCGAATGGGACAAAGTCCAGCAAGAATGGCTGAAGGTGAGCGGGAAATACTCAGTTCTTGAATTTTAAGTAATTCCACTGAGACATTTTCATGATATGAATAATATATTTTAGAAGTCTAGAATATTCGTAATGTCAATGAAATATTTTTGTTATTTCAATGCACACAAAGTTGAATTTACATTATCTACCACCAAAAAACTAAAAACCTATGATAGAGTTGAAACTAGAAAAAAAATAGCTTTATGTCCTCTTTCATAACTCATAAATCTTAGCAAGAACCATTTCCACATTCCATAACAACCCGACATATGTTATTCCTTTGAAACAGTAATTATGAAAATTAAATTTGGTTTTCTTTCTAATTCCATTAACCATTACTGCAATAGGAATTAGACATGGCTAGTTACTCAATACATTTGTCGTATTTAAGCAGAAAAAGTGATTTTTAATTAAAAAAAATTGTTGTAGCCAGGCCTAGTGGCACATGCCTTTAATCCCAGCACTCAGGAGGCAGAGGCAGGCAGATCTCTGTGAGTTCAAGGCCAGCCTGGTCTACATAGTGAGTTCCAGGACATCTGGGGCTACAGGGGGACCCTGTCTCAAAAAGACCAAAAAAAATTGTTGTGAATGGGAGGGAGAGATTTTGTAATCTAAATATTTCCCATTTTTTTCTTCTGTTTAAATCAATATCAAATTTCTATTACACTGTTATTTAACATTTATGTTATCCATAAAATAAAGCCTAATTTTGCAAAAATATCTTAGCAAACTTCCAGTTAAACACAAGAGGTCCTTTTTCTAAATACTACACAGCAGCAAGTTCCCTTGAGTGCTTTGTTTAAGGAGGCTAAATGATGAATGTGCCAAAGGCCCACATTACATAATGCCTATTGCTTTATGACTTCCAACACAGTCTTGCCATAACGCATTCCAGTGCTCTTGACGACTGTAGGACTTTTTTCTGTGATTTATTTACCCACTTTGGGTGTCTATGAGCTTAGGTTTCTTCTCATTGTCCTTGATGAAAAGAAGTCATTTTTGTTCACTCTGGCATAATAGAATCAGAGTAATAACTCCAGCATCTGCCCTCAAGATCTCTATAGTAAGCTCTCTTACCTAGGGAGCTCAGAGCCAACAGCCACCATATTTTTGCATCAAGGTTCTACCTTTATTCAAAACTTGACAAGGGCCAACAGTCAAAGCAGAATAGCTGGTCACCTACATTTTGAAATGCAAGCTGGTCACCTACATTTTGAAATGCAATATAGGTGTGTTGAAAACACCATCCACTCTACAATTATTCTACACTTCCCCCGCAGCTGCTTTATCACTTGAGAGGCTTAAAGAACTTTCTGATTGCCACATCAGTTGAAGCAGCAGTTTCCAAAGAAGAAAGCACCCCTCCTAGTGAACACACAAGAAGACCCACAGGGGGCTGAAGGAAAATGTCGATCTAGGGAAAATAAGAAACCACATTGGTTACAAATTTTCTGTTGCACTCAGTCCATACAACTGAAATATCAACAAATATATTTCTGGATTACTGAGAAATACAGTTATAGGTATTTGCATATTTTAGAAGTACATCTTTAAACAATCGTATTATATGTATTATTAGAAATTTCTGGTGCACGCCTTTGACCTCAGCACTTGGGAGGCAGAGGCAAACGGATCTTTGTGAAACGGAGGCCAGCCTGGTCTACATAGCAAGTTTCAGGCCAGCTGGGGCTACAGGGAGACCCTATCTCCAAAAGACAAAAGAGAAAGAAAAGAAAAGAAAGAGGGGGAGGGAAGGGGAATGGAGAGAAGGGAAGGGAG